AACCAGAAGTGGCGCTGTAGCTCAAGTGGTAGAGGGCTCGCCTTGAGCTGAAGAGCTGAGGGACAGGGCCCAGGCCCAGAGTTCAAGCCCCATGACCGACCAAAAAAAAAAAAAATCAATGTCCATAGCTCCATGACTAAAGTGTAACATACATGATCTTGATAGCGCATCCCCTGCTATTTCAGAATCTTTGGTTTAGAAGTATCTTCATTCCCTCCCTGTTCTGTGATGAATATAGCTGTTGTCAGCATTCATTTGTTGCTGTGGTGGGAATATGCTGTCTCAGGCTCACATTTGATGATGATGACTCCACAGAGCCTCCGCTTGTCAGTGTTCCCTGCAGACTGGAGAATATCTGGAAGTGAGATCTGCATAGAAGCAATGGAAAATGAGATAGGACTCAGATCTTTGCAGCCAGATGATAGTCCAGGGGTGGGCTTAATTCTGACATTTCAGCCAGCTAGATTCTGCAACAGGATTCCAGAAGGCTCATTCTGGCTGGTGGTAGGTCAGCCAACCTGAACACAAACCTGTTAGATCTTATTTTCTGTCCAAGTAGTCATTGCCACTTAGCACTCAGAACCAGGTGGCAGGCCTGCCTTTGGGGTCTAAGGAAAGCTACAGTGGCTGGAAGGGCTGAGGAGCAAAATTGCTGGGGTGCTTAGTGGGCACAAGCAAGGGCTGTAAAGCCTTGCTGCAATTTACCACTCACACACAGCCCATGGAAGTCCCACCGTGTGGAAGTAGGGAATGTTCACAGGGTTCTCTTCAGTATGGCTCTATCTTTTTTTCTGGTCATGGGGCTTGAACTCAGGGTCTGGGCTCTGTCCCTGAACCTTGCTGTGCTCAAGGCTAACATTCTACCACTTGAGCCAAAGTGCTACTTCTGGCTTTTTCTGGGTAGTTTATTGGGGAGATAAGAGTCTCACGGACTTTCTTTCCTGGGATAGCTTTGAGCCATGATTCTCAGATTTCACTGAGTAGCTCAAATTACAGGACCCACACTGAGCAAAATCTATCTTATATACTGCTTGAAATGATAAAAAGTAGACACATTAGGAAGTGATCCTTCCGCTAAGATGCATATTTGCTATATTCTTATTTAATGGTTTTGTTACTATATTTTACATGTTTTTTTTTCAATTCTCAAGTACAAGTTCATAGAACATGTTCCAGATATACATTTCATGAGGCTTACCACACTTAAGAATCCAAAACCAGAGGCTGGGGAGGTGGCTCAGTGGTAGAGTGCTTGCCTTGCATGCCTGAGGCCCTGGGTTCGATTCCTCAGCACCACATAAGCAAAAAGAAAAAAGCTGGAAGTGGCGCTGTGGCTCAAGTGGTAGAGCGCTAGCCTTGAGCTGAAGAGCTGAGGACCAGCGCCCAGGCCCAGAGTTCAGGCCCCACGACCAGACCCCCCCCCAAAAAAAAAGAATCCAAAACCATTAGTAAACTTGCTTAGATTAGGCACTGTATTCCTCGGCAGGATTCCTTACTGTACCACCACTCTCCTGCAAAGAATGGCCATTTTATTAGTATTACCAGTAAAGCAAGTCCTTCAGAGACTTAATTATTTGTGAGGATACTATTTGGGCACAAAAGGTTTAAATGTTTTCATTAAAAAGCTTTGATACCTGCTAAAGTATCACACGTTTTCTTTTTGTTATTTGAGTAACAATGCTTGATAGGAAATGTACTCATTACCTTACTCGTGTAACTTTAACCCCTCTGTTACAGTATCTTGACAATAAAAAATATATAGTAAAAAAAAAACAAAACTCTGATAATGCCCATGTTCAACAGGCACATACCCTTACAGACACCCCCCCACAAGTGCCTATGTATTCTTTTAGAAATATAAGAGGGGTTTTATAAATGATTCAAAATATGTGAATCCAGACTTATTGCCTATTTTGACCCAGTTTCATGACACTGCTTTGCAAAGAGTTCCTTTTTCTAATTTCCTTCCAGTGACAGGAGCCTCTGGTGTCCCCGAGAACAACCCACCTTGTACCGTGAACATCCCAATTGCACCAATCCACAGCTCTGCTCAAGCTATGTCCCCCACGCAGAGCATAGGGCTGGTACAGTCTCTGCTCGCCAATCAGAATGTGCAGCTGGATGTCCTGACCAATCAGACAACAGCTGTGGGGGCAGTAGAACATGCAGGAGACAACGCCACCCAGTATCCAGTTTCCAACCGGTATTCCAACCCAGGACAGGTGATTTTCGGAGGTGCAGAAATGGGCCGCATCATTCAGAACCCTCCTCAGTTGCCCTTGCCACCACCGCCACCACCACCACAAGGAGCTGTGCAGATGTCTGTAATGGACCATGGAGACCGAGACCACGAACACCTGCAGAAGTCAACCAAGGTCTTGCGGCCAGTGCCCCAGCTGGCGGCTGAGGGGGATGCAGTAGTTTTCAGTGCCCCCCAGGAAGTCCAGGTGACAAAAATGAACCCCCCACCTCCCTACCCAGGAACCATTCCTGCTGCCCCCACCACAGCAGCACCCCCACCCCCTCTGCCACCACCACAGCCCCCGGTGGATGTGTGCTTAAAGAAGGGCGACTTCTCCCTCTACCCCACAGCAGTACATTACCAGCCTCCCCTGGGCTATGAGCGGATCACCACCTTTGACAGCAGTGGCAATGTGGAGGAGGTGTGCCGGCCTCGCACTAGGATGCTCTGTTCCCAGAACACCTACACCCTTCCTGGCCCAGGTAGCTCTGCCACCTTGAGGCTCACAGCCACTGAGAAGAAGGTCCCTCAGCCCTGCACCAGTGCTACCCTGAACCGCCTGACTGTCCCCCGCTACTCCATCCCCACAGGGGACCCACCACCATACCCTGAAATTGCTAGTCAGCTCGCCCAGGGGCGGGGCACTGCCCAGAGGCCAGACAGCAGCCTCATTCATGCCACCCTGCGGAGGAACAACCGCGAGGTGGCGCTGAAAATGGCCCAGCTGGCTGACAGCTCCCGGGCGCCACTGCAGCCCCTAGCCAAGCCCAAGGGTGGCCCTGGCGGGGCAGTGGCACAGCTCCCAGCCCGGCCCCCACCAGCCCTGTACACCTGCAGCCAGTGCAGTGGGGCAGGGCCCAGTGCACAGTCAGGCACTGTCCTCGCTCATGCTATCAGCTCCTCCCCGCTGACCTCCCAGTCCTCTTACAACCTCCTGAGCCCACCTGACAGCACCCGTGACCGCACCGACTACGTCAACTCCGCCTTCACGGAGGATGAGGCCCTGTCCCCCCACTGTCAGCTTGAGAAGCCCCTGAGACATCCCCCACTGCCTGAAGCCACTGTCACCGTGAAGAGGCCGCCTCCTTACCACTGGGACCCTGTGCTGGGTGAGGATGTGTGGGTTCCTCAGGAAAGGACAGCACAACCTGCAGTGCCCAACCCCTTAAAACTGCCCCCTCTGATGCTAGGGCAGGGCCAGCACCTGGATGTGGCTCGAGTGCCATTTGTCTCCCCCAAGTCCCCTGCCAGCCCCACTGCCACTTTCCAAACAAGCTATGGGATGGGAGTGCCATATCCAGGAAGCTATAACAACCCCCCTCTGCCCGGAGTGCAGGCTCCCTGCTCCCCCAAAGATGCCCTGTCCCCAGCACAGTTTGCACACCAGGAGTCAACTGTCGTCCTTCAGCCAGCATATCCGCCTAGCCTCTCCTATTGCACCCTGCCCCCCACATACCCAGGAAGCAGCACGTGCTCCGGTTTACAGCTGCCACCTGTCGCCTTGCACCCATGGAATTCCTACAGCACCTGCCCACCTGTGCAAAACCCCCAGGGCACTCTCCCGTCTAACCCCCATTTAGTGGTGGAGAAACCCCTTGTATCCCCACCACCCGCTGACGTCCAAAGCCACATGGGCACAGAGGTGATGGTAGAGACTGCTGACAACTTTCAAGAAGTCCTCTCCCTGACGGAAAGCCCGGTCCCCCAGAGGACAGAAAAGTTTGGGAAGAAGAACCGGAAACGCCTGGACAGCCGAGCAGAGGAAGGAAGTGTTCAGGCCATCACTGAGGGCAAAGTGAAGAAGGAGGCTAGAACTTTGAGTGACTTTAATTCTCTCATCTCCAGTCCCCGCTTGGGGAGAGAGAAGAAGAAAGTGAAGAGTCAGAAAGACCAACTGAAGTCAAAGAAGTTGAACAAGACAAATGAATTCCAGGACAGCTCCGAGAGTGAGCCCGAGCTGTTCATCAGTGGGGACGAGCTGATGAACCAAAGCCAGGGCAGCAAGAAGGGGTGGAAGAGCAAGAGGAGTCTTCGGACAGCCAGTGAGCTAGAGGAGTTCAAGTGCCGCAAAGCCAGCGAGAAGGACGATGGGCGGCTGGGCAGCCAGGGCTTTGTGTATGTGATGGCCAATAAGCAGCCTCTGTGGAACGAGGCCACACAGGTGTACCAGCTGGACTTCGGAGGACGGGTGACCCAGGAGTCGGCCAAGAACTTCCAGATCGAGTTGGAGGGGCGGCAGGTAAGGAAGCTGTGACACCGAAGCTGCTGCATGACAGTCTGTGCTTTGGCCTCCAGGAGCACTTTTTCAAAAGGGGAGAAATAGTTCCTATCTCTTAGGCGGAACCAGTAGGCTTTGAACTCTCAGTATTCCTACCACTGTCTTGTATTTTTTTTTTCAACCAAGTAATGCACACATTGACAGCCAAATGATTCCATGGAATTTGTAAGGGCTAGTTGCAACTCTCTCCCCTCCCCCATCACATCTGTTCTCATGGAGGTGAAAGTTTCCCTGGAATTTGCCATCATCCTTGCAAAGAATGTAAGAATATGTTTATATTTCTGTTTATTGGTGTTTCTATTTTGCTATCATGTATTCTTCCTCAGGAACTCCTCTCTCTGTGCTAATTCTACCAGGAATGGCACTGATCTCGTTACCTCTTTCCCACCTTTTCCTTTCATGTCTCTGCTTCTCCACCACCCTCGTTCTCTCAGGTGATAGAGGTTGAAAGCTTGATGGTTATATTCTAAACTTTCAGCACCCATTCAGTTATGCATTGACTTTGAGAATATTTCCAGCACCCATTCAGTTATGCATTGATTTTGAGAATATTTGTTTTCTTCACCCCCACTCTCCTCCCCCTTTGCCAGTTAAAGCAATAGTCATTAGTGACCTTGTTCTGTCAGTGAGTAGGATTTACACCTGAGCCTTGTATGACAGTATAGTATTACAGTTTTTCCTAGACTTACTAACTGCTTGGATTTTCTTTGTTTGCTTATTTTCTGTAAATGTATTGCTAAGTCATCCATAGGACTTGGACTCTAAGTCTCTTCTTGATGCAACTCAGCACTGTGAATGACTGCGTCCTGCTCCAACCTGCTTAACCACCCTGGGAATCCCCTTCTCCACTCATCTTTAAATTTGCATTTTCATTAATTCAGTCATCAAATATTTATTGAGAACCTGCTGTGTATCTAGCAGTCCTCTAAGCCACATCTAAGCAGTCTGGCCCATTATTCCACTAGCCCACTGCCCTCTGTTTGTAAGTAAAGTGTTATTGAGATGCAACCTCTCTCTTTCACTTACGGGTGTTGTATATAGCTTTCATCTGACATGAACAGAGCTGAGTGATGGTTGCAGAGTGTATAACCCACAAAACCTAAAATGTGTTTTGTCAAACCTGTACCAGAAGCTTACCAACCCCTACTCTAAGTGAGAAATAAGAGCATTGAAGAAAGTCACTGCCAGCACAGACAAATCAGTATATATCCTATAACATCATGCAATGCTCTCAAGTTCTGGGGCCACAGGAAGTGGAGGAGCTAGAGCATGCTGGAAAGAAAGCAGTGTTCTAGAAGACAATTGAAGTAGATGTGTCTCTGAAATCTCTGTTAGCCTATAAGTTTTTTTTTTTCTTTTTATCTCTCCCTTGCTCCTTCCTTAGCGATGAACCCATTTCATCTGAGCTGTACGGCTTCCTTGGCTGTGAATCACACTCACTGATTCTTCTTTCATCATTTCACATGTTTCTTTGTCCCATTTCCTACAAATTATTAGGTAGATCTAGAAGGTCAGTCAGACTCAGTCCACTCTTGTGGACTGCTGTCTACTCTCGGGAGCTGGCAGCTCTGGTGTCTGCTACTTTGTTTTTCTTTCATGGCTTGGCTTCTTGCACCCTCCCCTAGGTGATGCAGTTTGGACGGATTGATGGCAATGCATACATCTTAGACTTCCAGTACCCCTTCTCAGCTGTGCAAGCCTTTGCTGTTGCCCTGGCCAACGTGACTCAGCGCCTCAAATGAAGAGACCAGTACCGGAAGAAAGATGCCACAGAGCCTTCAGAGGTAGAGCCCATGCTGCTGCTAGCCAGGGGACCTGGAGACAACAGCAGAAGTGGGAGAGCCCGTCAAGCCGGGAAGGCACTGGCCTTTCGGCGTGTCGTTTATTCCATTACCTTTATCATCTGTCTTTCTTTTCTTCTTTAACTAAAGTGTTATTTGCAAGGCAAGGGTGTGAAATGCCTGGTGTTCTTTCAGACAGTGTTTAGTGGCTGCAGAAACACTCTGCTGAGTTTGCTTCTCAGTGACCAGGACAAGGGCCTTTGGAGAGAAGACAGACTGCCTTCTAGCCTGCCTGCTATTTTAGACATAGGGAGTGTGTGTTAGTGTTCATTTTCCACAACATCTGGCCTTTATTACTCTTCCAACATTATCATTAGTGCAAAACACAAACTTCAGAAAATAAAAACGACCCCAAATCCTGAAAATTCAGGCTCTTTTATGGGGAGAGGGCAGCATTTAGTTCACATATATTATGGTACTCCCCAAAAGATGACTTGATGGATGAAGGATATGAGGGCAAATGCACTGTATTCCATTCACGAAAGTAGCTCTGTGCAGAGGTACTATCATCAGGGTGGATGTGGTTTGGTGTCAAAGAAGGGGTTATAAACAGGTGAGGAATGATGTGCCCATGCAGACAAATACTTGGGGGACTCAGTGGTGTGCTTTATATAAAGACTACACTTCTCTTCCAGAAGACTCCAATATAAACATCACATATGATGTCAGATGTTGCATAGGATCAATGATAACTGTTGAGTAAGATGTCCTGAAGGTAAGAGACACCAGTGAAAAGAGCCCAGGGATTATGTCTGATAAAGGGTATGACAGTCAGTAGAACCCATATTTACTGAGCAAGATGGTATTGCCTCTATGCCTTTTAAAAAAATCTCAAACACATTATTACAAACATATTTCTCATTAGATATCATTAATGTGTCATTTCCCTTTCTAAAAATATGGATGAGACTTGATTTGAAGCAATTCTTTCTTGGTTACATTAAAATTCAGTTGACTAGAAATGCTTTCCATCAAGTTACATATGTAACCCCCCAAAATGGAAGCTTTGCCAGGATATGAAAAAGTAGCAGTATAGTCAAATCCTTGACAAATGCTCCATGATACTCTCCAGGGGATGGGGAGAGCTTTTTATCCATCTAGACTGTTTTTACTGAGGTGAGAAACTACTAAGAAAGCATCGTTAAAAAATGACTATACCTATGGCGGTTAGATGTCTGCTCTTTGTTAGTTCAGCCTAGAAGATCTTTGCCCACTTATCTATAATGAGATGCTGCCAATACGACCTAGTTTGCTTTTGGTTACTCCTACTGATATTGTTTCAGGATAGAGCATGACAGCTGACTGCTAGCTTTGACACATAAATTTAGATTGTATTTGGAAACAGGAAAGTGGAAGATGCTTACAGGAAAGTATTTTCAAATTGAATTTAATTTTCAATTTTTAATTTTTAACATTTTCAATTTTTAATTTCAATTTAATTTTAACTCACTGAATTTGGTTGGAGAATTAGAAAAGAAACCGGCCCATTCCTTTGCCAAATTACTTACCATTCTTCACAACTTCCAAATCAATACTGAGTAGGTTTTTAAATACAGTAAAGGACATCTTCCAGCTAATACTGGAGTTCCCAGTTTATGCTTAAATGTGTGGAGATAGATTCTTTGGTGGGTAAATTCTTCCAGAAAGAAATTAGTGGTGTGTTCAGAGTTCCTTAGTTTTTTATTTAGGTATTTATAGCTTGATATGGCATTTCATTGCTTATTTTTAGTAGTGCAATAATAGTTGTAGACCGATCTTGAAATGATTTAAATGTAATTCCTCTATTTTTGCCTGTCCAAAAGGTAATTATTTATCTTGTTTTTCATAGTATTTTTGGAGTTATTTTGTTTCTATGTATTTGTGAGTTATGCCCATTATTTATTTAGAAAAGAAATGGTATCTTTGTAATGACTTATTTGGTAGCAGTTATTTTGCTTCAAGAAATAAAAGAGAACATGATCGAAGATGCTTTGCCGATAATTTGTAACTTTTTCTAATTGGGAAAAAGTCCTATTAGTCCTTTAAAAAGAATTCATTTTTATTTCATGGTGGTGGTTTATACAGAGGAGGATATTTCTTTGAGATAGCATACCCTAAAATAATATTTGCTTTATTTTGAAGTGTGTATATTTAATTAAAACAAGAATAGAAGAAAATAGGGGAAGTGGGCATCTAGGAGATGAGTAGTAGAAGGAGGAATTCTTATGAACCACTCAACTTTCTAAGTTCTGATTCTACAGATATAAAGGCCACACAATGAGTAAATTTTTAAAACTTTTTTTTTTTAAGTAAGAACAAACAAAAGGGCAGTCACTCCCCAAAAGGTATTTACACACACGGAGATGTTAGCAGCGAGTCTGCAGGGAGAATGAGCACACACCACCTACACCACCTACAGGCTGACTCTACCCCAGGCCTGAGACTCAGTCTCAGGTGCCAGATCAGTCACTGGCTGCAGCAGTTAAGATATGCTGTCTTTTAAAGCCATAATAGTGGCTTTATTTATGTAAAACAATTGCCTTCAGTCAGTCTCAGTTGATTATGTGCTACTAAAATTAGGACTTTTAAGTAGCAGAATTCTAGATACTTCGTGTTTCTCAATAGCAATGTATAAGTGTCTAGATATCTCATTGGCTTCCTAAATTAAAGAACATTGAACTAATAAAATATCAACTACATAAAGATTTTCATTGGGCTGGAGTGTGGCTCAGGTGGTGTCGTGCTTGCCTGGCAAGCTCAGGACCCCAAGTTTAAATCCCACTCCTACCCCCCAAAAGGCATGAGAAGCATTAAACTAATAAATATAAAATCAGTTTTAATTTATTTGGCTCTAACTTCATCAGACCAAAGGCAATAGACATGTACAAAATATTCACTGAATGTATATCTTGACAAAAAATGAGACCAAAGAAGCAGAAAATTCAAAGCTGTAATTGCAGTGTAAAAAGGCTGGCAGTGTGCAGAGGCTGGGTTTCATACTAGCTAAGGCAATGCAGAAGCATGTGATGTTCAGTACTCATAGCTGGTAAGGAGGCCCAGTCTCAAGCCTTGCTCTGCTCTGCTCTCCTTTCCTACAAGGTTGGAGGGTGACCTGGGCTGCCAGGCCTCCTTATGTCCATTTGTAAAATGAAAAGGACATAAGGATAATCCTTAAGCTCCCTTGCTTCAGCAGCCTGAGAGCTCAGAAGGGTACAGCTTCAGCTTCTCACTTCAGGAGGGTGAAAGTATGTTTCAAAACATTGCCTTTTTTTTTTTTGGTCAGTCATGGGGATTGAACTCAGGGCCTGTGCACTGTCCCTGAGCTCTTTTGCTCAAGGCTAGCTCTCTACCACTCTGAGCCACAGCACCACTTGCAGTTTTTCTGGTGGTTAATTACAGATAAGACTTTCCTGCCTGGGTGGCTTTGAACTGCGATCCTCGGATCTCGGCCTCCTAAGGAGCTAGGATTACAGATGTGAGCCACCAGCACCTAGCAAAACATTGCAGTTTTATGGAGACATGTTTCTTTTTCTGTGTTTTTGAGCTGTCTACTGAATACATACCAGTGCTGTTAACAAATCATCTGTAGAAAGGTCATCTCTAAATGAATTTGGGATCATATTTGTTCTCATATAGTTATAAGCAGGATGGAAGAGTTCTTCCCCCATAAGTATACTCTGCTCAGTGAGCACCCTCAAGAACAACCCCATAATATACCACTAGTCCCTAAAACAGTGGATCCAAAAAGAACAGAGGAGTGAGGATCCAGGTTAACTTGGTTTTTTAGTGTGTTTCTGTCCTCAATTGTTAGTACTATCCTCAGACTCAAAAGTTTGCTTGAAAAGGGACCTGTGAGAAAACAACCAGGGTGTCCCTGGGCTGTGGGTCACTTGCTCAAGTCAGTGATTGTAGCACAGTTAGCTGAGACAAAATGGATCAGAACTGTCCTTTGAGTTCCTGGGTCTTTATACTCACAGCCGAAACTCTGCACCATTTGTGTATTTTCCATATTTCTAGTTGGTAAACCCTGAAGGATTGTGGCTTATTTCATTTCCACTTTCTTTGGCTTTGTGCAATTTCTTGTAACTTTCCTTACACCTATATTTTTTGTTTATAATTTCTTTCTAAGGGGAGGGGTAGGATTCTAAGCTTGTTTATTGTAGATAATTTTTTTCTTGTGTTGTGGAAAAGCATGGATTATGCATTGGGTGGAAAAGGCACTGTGTTACTTACCAAAGGGGTATTGTTTCTGCATTTGTTTATAAATGCGTTATTTTGGTACTGTAAATTTGGATGTCATTTCTGCATTTATTACTACTGGTTTTTTTTTCTTTTATTATTCCCATAAGAGTGCAATGCAGGTACAGATGCTCCAGACCGAACACCACCACCAGCATGTTATTGTCCAAACCTGGGATTGGCATGCACTCTTCCTGCATACCAGTTCCTCTGCTGTTGGTTTCTTTTTAAATCAGCATCCTACTTTGTCTTAGTTTCCAAACATGATCTGTTGTGATTCCTGATTGCATTTCAGTGAGCTCTCTTATTTGCCTATCTTCTTACGTATTTTGTGTACCTGACTGTGCAGGAGGTATTCTAGAAGGCATTAATGGTTTGCATTCAAAATGATGTGGTTTGTCCAAAATATTTTGTCTTTATTATTGAGATGAATAATCTTATTTTTTTCTTGATGATTTAAAATTGTAAGAGTTGTCCAGCTATTGCTTAATAAAATTTTGCAGATCAAAAAGAAATCAGTTGCTTCTGTGCCTAATTCAGACTGTGAGTCTTCAGTCCTTTACATAGAAATCACCTCAGACAGTGATATGACTTGTCACCCTTCAGTTGTTTCAGGGTCCCATGGGAACAAGAGACCCTGAGATTCCTGTCATTGTGCTGGCCCTCTGAGAGTTCAGAGGCTGCTGCCTAACTGATTGATTGGTTTGGGTTTCTTTTTTTTTCCTTTACCTTTTTTTTTAAAGGGAGACCAGTTAAGAAGGCACCTGTGTAGTACCTAAAAGATCAGGGGTGATAAATATATACCTTCTTTGTTACATTGTAAGAAATGTAATAGAACCAATTCAGCTATAAAGTGCTAATGTAACTTGTTATCACTGAGTACTTGCAAGCTCTTTACCTGAAGTTTTCCTAGGACTAGAATGCTGAACACAGGAGTCATATCTGTAAGCAATATACATGTGTCTACAGAACTACCCTTTTAATCTTTTTTCAAGGTAAAAATAGACATGGAGTCACTCAGGCTTTAGGAGACAGAAGAACCCAACTACTGTCAAGTCTAAGGAAGTTTTAGTTAAAAACTATTTTTAAGTAATTGTAGGATCGTAAATCTTTGAATAGTCATAGATGGCTCATTGCCTTGAACTTTGCATGAGAATTAAAATATAGCCAGGTATATTAGTGCATGCCTAAAAACCTCAGCTACTCAGAAGACAGAAGCAGAGACTATCATGAGTTTGATGTCAAACAAGGCAAAGTCAGCAAAATTCTAGGGCTAGAGGTATAACTAAAATGGTAAAGAGGCATTGGGTTTAATACTAACGTATATCTCATTTTATTATGGGCATTCAGTGAGCATTGAGTGATATTTGTAACATCTTCATCATTTAAACCAGGCAGCAGAGAGACCCAGCCAAAGCTAAATCCCCCTCCTCAACTGCCCCTTCCCCACCCTTGCCAAAAGTAACCACAATAACAAACCCATCAAAGCCTGAACCTATTCCTATCTGGGACTGAAGGAAGGATACTTGGCCAGAGCCACCGTCTCCACTGAACGAGACAGCTGTCAGTTTGGGAACCATTCTGTGTAAGTCAATGTTCCCAGATACAATTTGTTTTTAAAAGTCTGGGAAAAAAGTTTAACAAATCCCTTTCCAAACTTACTTTGAAAAGGATACATCCTATTTTTATTTTAACTCTGGCAGCATTACAAGAATGAAGAATCTAACTCTCATATCCAATCTCCAAAAAACAACACAGAAGAGAAATGACTACGTCATGGAGATAGTATTGCAGCTTTCTAAGGCAGAGGTACCACAACAAAATCTGACTTCATTATGAAGTACCTGCCTTCTGCCTTCCTTTCTGGAGAAAATTGGAGCATTGAGAAATTGAAATAATTTCTGGATTCCGTAGACAACCAATCCTGAAATAGAAGCCAAGGTTTCTGGGTCACATTAATAAAATAGACCTAGTTTATTCCCAGCTTCTCACTCGTGTATACAGAGCTATGAGCTCCTTACACTTGGTCACCTGTGAAAAAGGGATTATAAATGGGCTATCCCTGCCCTTCCTCTGGTGAGCTCATCTCATCCTTAGAGTCAAATGTGAGTATTTGTGTGAGTACTTTTGAACTCTCAAAAGACAGAAGGCTTGGTTCACTGGCTATATTCCTTGGCCAGAAATCA